ATCAAAGTACTAAACTGTAAAAACGTTTTGGTGTCAGAGTACTAAACTGTAAAAACGTTTTGGTGTCAAAGTACCAAACTGTAAAAATGTTTTAGTGTTCATGTACGTGAATGTATTTTTCATGTGACGTTAAACGTCTTTACTGCTGACTAAATGTGGTGTCTTTGTTGCTTTTTTGTACTGACCATGAATTTAGAGAGCGTGCTACCACAATATGTGTGTATAGGTGTGTAAATACCTTAAATATGTGTGGTAACATTTGACACATTGATAGAAGATGTTCACCTACCAAGTAAATCAACCTCTTTTTTTATGTATTCCTGTCAGGCATGGTTGAACGTATTTGTGGTAAATAGCACCGGTGTATGCTGCTAATACACAAAAGATTTTGACTGTTCATACCCCGCACGTCTGTGGCTTGGGTTGCTCGGCAACTAGGCGCAGAAGTTTACATGGCTGGTGTTTCTCTGTGAAGTCATCAAAATCACACTTCTTCATGTATTACCCAATAGTTTTTTTTTTCTTATATTGAACTCTTGTTGCACGTACTATTGATTAAATAAAACCACTGGTTATCAGTTCTGGCTCCCTGGTACGTTCAATGTTGAAAGACAGATTTAAATTGGACCGAAATATCTGGACGTTTGGTGTATTAGAACGTTTTGTGTAACATTCACTTGTAGGGATTTATTCAAGTTCTCAGTGCTAAGGTCTTTGATGTACTCATGAATAACATGGCCTCAATATTGCAGAGATGTACTGAGAAGGAAAAAATTATAACAACTTCGTTTCTTTTGGAAGTAATAAATATTTCAATATTCCGTCATCATGAATAATCTTCAAATTCGAACATTGGTTTAGATGGGATTACTACTCCAAGTTTATTTAATAAGAAACTGGGAACCTACTCTAATCACTGGAGATCTAGCTACGGATATTTATCTATTTATAATTTAGCACTAGTGAAGAAGCCACGGTATAGACTGTATTAATCCTTGATTTGAGAATTTAATTGAACTTATATTTGGTTACCACTGATTGTCACATTCTTGCGTGCCTTTTCTCTCTCTCTCTCTTTGCCCCCAGTGACACAGCGGTATGTCTGCAGACTTACAACGCTAGAATCCGGGTTTCGATACCCGTGGTGGGCAGATCACAGATAGCCCATTGTGTAGCTTTGTTCTTAATTACAAACAAACAAACTCTCTCTCTCTTGAATAAAATAAAAGAAACAAAATTATATCGGTAAACTCGTTTCAAAAATAAGTGACAAACCAATTTTTGCTATGTATGTTTGTTTGTTTTTGAATTTCGCGCAAAGCTTCACGAGGGCTATCTGCGCTAGCCGTCCCTAATTTAGCAGTGTAAGACTAGAGGGAAGGCAGCTAGTCATCACCACCCACCGCCAACTCTTGGGCTACTCTTTTACCAACGAATAGTGGGATTGACCGTCACATTATAACGCCCCCATAGCTGAAAGGGCGAGCATATTTGGTGTGACGGGGATTCGAACCCGCGACCCTCAGATTGCGAGTCGAGTGCCTTAACCACCTGGCCATGCCGGGCCTTTTTTTGCGATGTAATTACTTAGAACACTTGAACGAAACACATAGATCTAAAATATGGATTTCATTTTGTTGGGAGCGAAATCTGTACCAGTATAAATCGTGGTTTGTTTGTTGTTGTTTTTCAACAGACTTTGTGCATAGTTGTTTTTATTTTGAGAGTATAAAACAGAGGTGGCAGTGGTATGGGTCCTTTTTTATTTTTCTGTATTGAAAGTATAAAGTATAGCGCACGCGTTTCTTTTGAAAGGCGTATTATGAATCAACGTTCTGACAGCGTACTTGAAATTGAATCTATGTTTCAAAGTAGCAGATTGCAAACTTATTTTTCTCTTCGTAGGTGGAACGACCGAGTGTTAAAGCCTACAATATTCAAGCCTCAATTATTGTATTACTAACCGTTTAGAACGCATCACGATTCACCTGAGTTGTTCTCACGCCATCGGAAACAACACGCTCTGCTGGCACGCACTATAAAAAAGTTTCAACTTACGACGTTGAAGTCGATATATATATGTATATATAGGGAGAGAGAAAGATGAGTATGTAAACTACAAATCAGTGTATTATATATGAACAGTGAACCAATTTGAAACAGAGGAAAGGCAGTCAGCAACATCCACCGCCAACTTGTCGACTATTTTAATCGAATTGTGAAATTTGAGTGTCAGTGTTATAGCACTCACGGAGTGAGATTTTGCTGCCTTCATGGACCTTCATCCTCTGAGTCCAGCACGCTAACTACTAAGCAACGCCCGGCTCAACCTGGAGAGTTTTAGTTCACTATTCTTTGTGTGTGTGTGTGTGTATTTATATGCATATATCTATAGCAGTGGTGCTGTTATTGAGCTTATTATTTTAACGGCCATAAATTGTAATCTGTGAATAACCGTATGCAAAATATAATAAAACTACAAAAAACTGTCACATATATCCTCTGCAAATATATTCAACACTTAAGCCTAAACAAAATATCTATTAATTAGATTAAAAGAAGAAGAAAAAAACAGTTTAACAGCTTTCAACCCATACTATTGATACGGTTTACACGTCGAAAGCCGGCGAACTATTGACAACAAATAGGCTTAAAGATTGTTATAAAAATCAAGTTAAACCGCAGATATTTTTATTTGTTTTATTGTTATTTTGCACATTTCTCTTAATTTGTACATTGCGGCTACTTTTACACACCTCTGATTTTGTGTCGCAATGGACAAGTTAAGAGGAACCTGGGGGTGGGGGACAGTATCTGTAGCTATCACGATTTTTATAACAATTCTTAGGCCTGTCGATTTCCATTATTTCGCCGGCTTTTAGCGTTTGTTTCCCAGTGGGTCAGTGAAATGTTTATGGACTTACATCGCTAAAATTTGGGGCTCGATTCTCCGTGGCGAGAAGAGCACAGATATCCTATTGTGTAGCTTTGCGCTGAAACAAACAAAAGAAAAACCTTCAGCGTTTAAACCGTTAACTTTTGAAGTATTATTTTGCATACTTAAAAAGCGTTTCATAAATGATTTTGTCTCTCATCATCTAGCCTAACTGACAAGTTCTGTAACTCAACGAATACCTTCTTGGAGCAGTGACTTCTGAGAAACAAACGATAGATCTGAAATGCTGTTTTTACACTCCTGATTTTGAGCCACAATGAACAATTTAAGAGGGAGGGAGTAATAAACTGCAGTTAATTTGATTTTCCCACTATTGCTGTCTTCTTTAATCTGGCTTCCTTTCAGACTTCAAATGGTTATTCGTTAATAGATGAAAGCAATCTTAAACCTACCTTAAAAATTGTCTTTGTCTTGAAGTTTAGTGTTGACATTGTTCATACATTTCTGTTTTTGAAACTTTCGATATACATACATATATATATATATATAGTCTGAAACGTATTTTTCAAACCGGTTAGTGTTATAATACTCACTTTTACCAACTCACATGCTTCACTTTGCACGAGAAGTTTGTATGTTTTACTAGTGGCATTTTTCGTATAAAACGTCATCTGTAGAGTGAACATGTTAGAACTTTTTAGTTCAGCGCTTTGATTGTGTAAAGGTAGAATTTTTTTTTGTAATTACTGTGGTTAAAGGCACATGAGCGGCCATTATTAGTTTATGACTGCTTGCCTTGAAAAAGGCATCATTGTCCCACTAACCCAGTCCGTGATTAGTGAGCCACTGGCTCGCCGGGTTAGCCCTCGGGGCAAGCATTACCGGCTTGGCAGGCACGAATTCCACATAAGTAGTTGGATTTGGACTTAGCGAGTCTGGCGCCCACGCACGAAACTTTGGGTTTAATGTAATGAACTGGAAACGACTGTTAGAGGTGATAGTCGATTTTCGAGAGTCAACTGTACCAGTTGTTCTCAAAACACACGGTAATCTCTTGACTTATCTGTATGATGTTGGGGGTTAGAAAAGAATTTCCAGATTCTGCATAATTATGAAAACGTGAATTGTAAGGCCAGTACAAATCGTTTTAAACATGAACATAACAACAAGAATATCACGCAAGTGTAAATAATAATTTTATTGATGTCACTTGTTCTTTTACGAAAGAGTATTTTTATTAAGAAGCCTAAAATTGCTTGTTTTGTTCAAGCACATAGCTTCACTATGGACTGTTTGTAATTGTGTCCACTAGAGAAATCAAACTCCGATCTTTAGCTTCATAAGCCCCCAAAACTTACTATTATTGAGCCACTGGTGGTACCTAAAATTTAAATTTTTGAAACGGTGATTTCAACTTTGAATAATTGTTTGACTTGTTAACATTCTAGGCACTTGGTAATGTAGGACTGAATAAACTCTCATATTGAAATTGTTAACATTCTAGGCACTTAGTAATGTAAGACTGGCGAAACTCCCATAGTGACATTGTTAACATTCTAGACACTTGGTAATGTAAGACTGAAGAAACTCCCATAGTGAAATTGTTAACATTCTAGGCACTTAGTAATGTAAGACTGAGAAACTCCCATAGTGAAATTGTTAACATTCTAGGCACTTAGTAATGTAAGACTGAAGAAACTCCCATAGTGACATTGTTTACATTCTAGGCACTTAGTAATGTAAGACTGAAGAAACTCCCATAGTGACATTGTTTACATTCTAGGCACTTAGTAATGCAAGACTGAAGAAACTCCCATAGTGACATTGTTAACATTCTAGGCACTTAGTAATGCAAGACTGAAGAAACTTCTATTGTGAAAATTTAAAATGATTCACTTAATGTGAAAGTTTAGTAACTCTAAATGTATGAAACTGATCGAAACAAAGCGGTAAACGGCAGTGTAAGAATTTAAAACATTTATCTTAAATATGTTGACATCATGAGAAACATTTCGATGTTTTAATCAAACAACGTGTTATTCATTTTTTCCCAATTAGTCATTTATGAATGATGTAGGTGATTTTTATGATATTTGGTCTGTTGAGATATTTTAAATATAAATCGAGTGAGTGTAAAGCGTTGATTTAATTTGGTTTGCCTGCCTTATATTCAATAGTAGGATTTTAATACAGGGTATTTTTAAGTTTGAATCTTATTTAAAACCTGAAGTTTTTAATCGTTAATCGCACTGTTATTATTATATCCAGTGTTTAAAATACATTTTTTAATCAAATGTTCTTGGATTTTTTTTTTCCTTCTTGTTTTGTGCCCCATTGATATATTTTTTGTATCTGTTTTTATTACATTTAAAACGTAATAAATGTTTTTGTGCTCATACATAGTTTGGAATATATATATATATATATCAAATACTTTTCCTAGATGAAAGCCACTTAAGGATGAACGGTAACAATAGGCAGGCCAATGTGCCTTTGGCCATGCCCGGAAATGGCGCCCACAATCCACAGCCTGTAGCAGGAAGCCCAGGGCCTATCACATTTAACGGGCGGGAACCGTGGATGAGAGGACATCTCCCTGGACCTCCTCCGCCTTATCCCATGATGAGTGGGCCTTCTGAATATTCATTTGTTGATCCGGCCAGGTCTTCGTCTTACCCTCAAAGAATAGGGGCCCCTCCTCCTCCTCATTCATTTATTCAACCATCGTCGCAGTTGGATCCTCACGGACAGAACGTGTTTACTAAGTATGCTACTAGTAGTTCAGGTTATGTTACATCGCAGTTCCAAACAAACGTGCCCTTAACATCAACCATAGCATACCATTCTCCAGGCCCTCCTTACCACAACGCATTTCAAAAAATTAACCCAGAATCAATGAGGCCAATATCAGCTTCTGAAAATACGGTACCTGTGACAAGTCAGGAGATGGTAGTAGAAGGATTGAGAGCTCGTCTTTTCGACAAAAATTCTAATCCAATTTCGGCCAACACAAGTGACGCATCAAGTCCAGGACCTGCGTCATCAGATGGAATAGGAAATGTTGGCTACAGACCCTGGGAGCAAGGGAGCGGACAAGGACAACAACAGAGCGAGAGTTCACAGGAATCTCATCAAGAATCTTTAAGGATTCCACTTTCTTCTCTTGCACAGCAGGAAGACACATCTTTACCAGCGAGCAGAGAATCTGACGACAGTGCTTCACAAGATCGATTTAGACAAGGAACAAACGAAAAATTAACTTCTCATTCTAGAGAACAGACTGGTCCATCTTCTAGACCGTCGTCACGTTTTTCGTCGTCACCTGGACTAGATAGTCGATCCCAGCAGGACTCTTGGTCACAGAATGAAAAAATTCAAGAGGCAATTGAGAGAGCCAATTCTTATCAGTCTCATTCTCATGCTCAACCCATGGGTTCATCAGGGCTTGGAGTATGTGCCAATTCACCACAAGCTAGTATGACTTTTCCACATTTTGGAAATTCAAATACACTTCGCTACCCTTCACCTCAAAGTTATATACACCATCCTGGACATCAGCAACAGATGTTTCAACACGGCGCCAATTCTGTTATTCCAAGCCCCAAACATATGAAAATCGAGCCAGACTCTTCCACTCCTGATAGTAGAGGAATTGTTGAAAACTCCTTTCAAGTGCCTTCTGTTTCTTCCACCACTCCAAGGCAAGTTCTTCCACCTATATCAGGCCAAGCTGAGCAGTGGGAAACAACTAACACTGCTAGTCTCCCATCACAAATTCCCGCTATTCCTGAAGCAACAGAAAAGCCAAAAAAGAAACGAAAACGTTGTGGTGAGTGTCCTGGATGCCTGAAAAAGGACAACTGTGGCGAATGTGGGCCATGCAAGAGTGTTCGTAGTCATCAGATATGTAAAATGAGAAAATGTGACCAACTCAAGACCAAGAAAGAAAGAGTGAGTATTGGATACAGTTTTGAATAAGTAAGTATATAGAAAATATTACTGCATCTTGTACTTCGGTGTTATACACTACACTAAAAAGGGGAGGATATCGTTAACTAAAATATCTGAAAGTGTGACAACGTATTTTCTTCTGGAAGCGGGTAGCTTTATCAGGAAATTTTCGGATTAGAATATTTTAAGAATAGATTATTCTATGCCGAGTTACTCAATATTTTTTTTTGTTTTTGTAATTTTTGGCTTTTTATTTCTGAAGTGAGGCGATTGTCGAAACGACGCTTGAAATGAAATAATACAGTTACTTGTCTTCGTTACTTGTATTGCGTGTGGCTGGCTACCAACATAACGCCGTGTTCTCACTGAACCGTCATTAGCTGTGTAGTGATTATTATTGAGAAATACTGTTATCATTGTTGAGTGTGCTGTTAATTAATTCTACGTCATTTTTGGCCAGAATTTTAATCAGATTTATTTAAAAGAAGTACAGTTTTAATATGGATATTTATTTCATGCACTCACGATTGAAATATTATTTAGTCTGACGTAAATTAGTAAGACATGTTCATCTCCCGACTCATTAAAATTTAAATAGCGATGATAGTCAGTATTGTGTTTGAACAACAAGAAAAAAAAAAACTAATCCTGACACAGTTTTATATTTCCTCTCTTCACACCTAGTTCTAGGGCATTAATTGAAATAGCCCTACCAGTAACTGACGAATTTCCGGTGACAGCTCTTTCAGTTAGAACTGACACCAAACGGAAGTTACCACAACCACAAGTTTGGTAAAGGAAAAGCGAAACGGATATTTTCTAGTCAGCCAACAGATTCACGTATAATTTGGGTGTTGTTTTGTTTATAGTTTGTCACCGACGTGTTATTTTCTTATCTTCAGTTTAATACAGCAGGAACGAGCTTCAAATTGATTTGAGGCCACTAGTCTAATAATAGTGTTTTTGACATTTTAATTTTAGGAATTCAATCATAGAGATATAAAGACATACAGTATTTAGATCACTGTAGTTTGTAAAATTTCGCTACACTTAACTTCAAACAATTGTATGAATAATTAGAATTGATTTAATACGTCATTATTTTATGCCACATAAATTTATAAGCATAATAAGGCGCCCTAAAACGGTGGGTTGAATTATTAATTTGTGTACAATTTTCGTTCATTTTCCCAACAATGAAATTATTTCGTAATAAAAATTACGCGGTGTTGTTTTACCAATTGTTTTGCCTTTTTTTTTAATGAGGTTTAATATTTTGTGAACGTAACAGTTCTTATGTCACTTCCTAATATTTAACAGCTAAACTAATTTAACTTCTGGAATTCGTTATACCAGAAGCGGCAAATCAAGCTAGCCATCATGTTGAAAATCATCTTATGCAGGACTCCAATGTAAAAATCAATAACGTATGCATCTACTGGGGAGGACAGTGTACCTTCTCTCGCTGTTTATTACGAGGGATGTACCATTTTGAAACTCAGGGTTGAGTAAATAATGCGCGGAGGGGAAGCGTGACTCATTAAATGGACCCACGCCGTACAAAACATAGAAATTAAACAAACATAGGGAAAAAAACTACATTTTTCTAGATGGAATCATACTGACAGTTTATCGGTAATAGGTAACAATCACCATCCCTGGTTTCTCAACCGTCAGTATGACTTTTGGTTCACTATATTGAAATGATACTAGTGGACTGCAGGGGCGGCCTTTGCTACGGAAAAGATACTACTCAAAATAATTAAAACAAAATTGCAATGGAATATACTTTACATAAGATAGATCTGGGGCACAGTGAAACACATTTCGGGACCTATGGGCCGGTTCCCTGACTCACCCCTGACTCTGTGTAATCTGATGGTGGGCAATAGTTTTTGTTTCTTTGCTAAAGGCTACGGTATACAGACTGAATCATTGTCCACAAGATGCAAACTATTGACAATTCAGTGTAATTGGTCTCTAGTCTTATAAAACCACCCTTCAACCAAAAATGACGCTTCCCAGTGTTGTTAATTATCTGATTTATCGAGATGCTTATTGCACTACTGTTTTTACCTTAGAGATACGTCGTTATATCTATAATTGATTGTACTTAGGGAATCTGTTACTTAGTGAATTAGGCTTAGCATTATTCAAGACATTTTCCATTTGAGACAAACTAAAATATATGGAGGTGAGCTGAGTAATAATGATAATAGTACAGCTATTTTTTTCATGTAACGTTAACAATGTGTGGCCATTAATATTAACCAGTATTTAAACGTGAATTGACCAAGTCGCGAAATTTCTGTTAAAAACCAGTACATGTTATGAAATCCGTAGTTTTCCGTATTTTACAACTGGAAAGCGTTACGTTTAGTTTGTGTGTCTTAAATGGTAATATTGGTGGTAATTTTGATAAACTAGGTTGGGTTACCCATTGTTTGTAGTAGGCAAATTACAAGCAAAGCTAGCGGTTAATGACCTCGTATGGTTTCCATTTTGTGGTAATAACAACCGACATTTTCTTTTCCAGGCCTCCGGCGTTACATCCGTCAGTATGATGAAAGAAAGTCCGAAAGCTGTTCAACCTGCCGTGGAGGGTATGGGACGAAACGTTAACGGTGTTAGTCCCTTAGTTTTCTCAGGACAGCAAGGACGAGAGCAACAACTTAGTCCATTGGGAATGCCAAGGGTATGACCTTTTACACAGTTGTTATATTCCTCTACCTTCCACAGTTAACAAACTGAAAGTTTATATATATATACGAGAGACACCCGACTAAACTTTCTCTCCACTTCTTATTGCCCATGTTGTGTATTAAAACCAGCCGTTTTATTTAGCCTCTGATTATTAACGTTTACAAAAACACTAGTTTTATTGAGAATCTTCCATAACCTCCTTAGTAGTGGGGAGTCATTTTAGTAAGCAGATATATATATATGTGTTATTTTAAAAACACCACATAAGAATATTTTGTATTTGTATTTTTGGCAAACTTACTATCTGCCATTGTCTCTAATTCTGAACTACTGACCAGAGATGGAAGGAAACCAGTCTACAGCACCTTACCATCCACGCTACGGGATTCATTGTTACTATTATATCGTGTGTGTGTGTGGGTAGGGGGGGGGGTATTTTGTTGTATTGCACGGATTCGAAGCAGGCTCACCAGCTCCACCACAAGGCCAACCCGCTCCCCTTGGAGATATTGTAATTATAATAATATCGAAAAATAAAATACTTATTGAGCAAAAACTTAATATGTGTGTGGACAGTTGTCATAGCAACTCATTAATTATGGTAAACTCTTCACTGACTTTATATTGAAAATGTAACGAACTATAACGACGAGTATTCAACTAAGAAACTAACAGTAAAACAGTATTTTGTAATTAAACTAAATTAGCATTTAATTCGTGATAAAATTAAGTCAAATTATAAAAGAATATTACGATTATATTTTGTTGTATTTGCGTCAGGAATTATGTACTTACATATCTTATGCGTGTGTGTCTTTTAATATACACAGAATTAGTTTAACAGTCATTAAATTAAGACACGCAGAAGAAAAATTCGAAGAGAATTTTGACATCGCACAAGGTAGCACAGAGTCTTCCATATTCGTGACGTTTGTCTCTGTCCACGAAGATTGTGCAACTTGATGTATCCAGTTTTCTAACACGTCAAAAATATTATTTTTAGTAACAGTAGCTAAATATATAGCTAAATATTTTTGTCGTTATTCATCATAGGTTTTAAAGGCCTATACAGTTCACACACACACACACGCTCGCTAGTGTCAATGGTCGATAAGTGGGTATGTAAAAAAAAAGCAAGCTTGGAATATAGTTTCAAATTTGAAGTTTACGTGGCGATCACGGTCGAAACTTACTAACTTCAAACGCGTCAGGAAAGTGACTTTGTGTCACTCGTTGTGAGTGATTTGTGCTCTACAGTAAACCAGCCTTAAAACATGCAACATTTTTCGACTATTGTATCTTGGGGAATTTAAGCAGTTTCATGTAATAGAGATTTGCATGAATTAAAATATGATCTACAATAAACCAGTCTTGATATATCTGTTATAATAATATTCAGTTTTTATCTATCTTGAAAATACCCGCGCACCGTACTATGTAAATATGCATGCGCGCGCACTTCATTTCAACGAAAGGATGTAATTGTAAATATAGTGTAGTAGACATTTTGTATAACAACATATTAAAAGCTTAAAAGGCCTGAAGTTAGATTGTAGAATCACATTATAAGTATATTTATTGACAGTATTAAGTACGGTAAAGTTTAGCCCTAACTAAACTAAAGCAAAAAACTTACACAAGTTACAGTGTTAATTTATTTCTTTATCAAGTATAGGCGTATTTAATAAAGGCTTAACGAATGTTAGGCTTAAGACAAGACAATTGGACTTTTAAATTTCAGTGTCCGCGATTAGAATTCTTGTGTATTATTCTAGAAATCCTGTATTTAAAGAAGTACTGTTTCAATAAAGACTCTAATTTGACCGCGAGTCTCTGCTAGTACAACAATATTCTCAAATTAAAATTTTATATAACATATTTAAAAAAAAAAAATTTGTTCTGCTTCAGTTACAACGTTATAGCGTTAAATTCACCGAAATGTAAGGTACAAACCTTTTCTTAATAGGTACATTTTTTTATCATACAAAAACCTTTCTTTAATCTATGCTCGCCATTGACACAGTTTACATGGCTGGTCTTTGTGGCGAGTTGGCTGTTGTCAAAAGTAGGTTCTTAAAAGCACAGACCTTGAGGCAAACATGCACCATCTGTGCGCTTTCTCACGTGCTTGCTCCAGATGTTCACCAGTGAATGGAGGCGCACATGCACACCATTTCTCCCCGTGAAAAATTGAATGGGAACGACCATACTATTTCGTGCTTGCTTTCAGCCATAGCTAGAACCTATGTCACCAATGGGAACCACAGCTTTGGCGTCATCCATTCAGATGTTTGTATTTGAAATGGCAAAAGGCATTTGTGTTTCATCATGCTATTGTTTAATATATGTTCATGCACTTTCACAACTAAATCCGTACCCAATTAACGTGTATTATCCGCGACTAATTATTTAACGAACAAAAGTGTATATTCTTTGCACGAAATTGGTTTTATTTTTTGTTTATTCAAATTAAACAGGCGGTACATTTCTGCCTTTGGAGAACTGCTAGAATCAAACACTAGCCCATTGGTAATTAAATAATTAACATTTTAACTATGCATTAATGATATTTGTTAGTCTCTACGAACATGGTACGTTGTACATTTATGCAAAACGTAATCAGAATTTATTTGAACATGAACTCATTGCAACTATTAATACAAGGGCCTTTCTGAAATTCACGTTTCCCGCGTCGCTAATTTGTTGTTTTTTTTCCTTCTTCTTCTTCTTCCATTCCCTCAGCTTTACTAAGCCTAACCTTTCATCATTTTTCAATCTATTAACGTTCGTAATGACATACTCCGTTTCCTCATCATAACTTCGTAGCGCTAGCTCCTCGCTCCATCCGATATCTTAATTGAGCAATATTAAGGTTGTGGCGTGGGGTGACGTGTCCGATTCGAATTTTAAACGAGCCGTTCTTGCTGACTCATGTCGTTAATGAATTTTCCAGATTAATGCCAGTACGATTAACGTTTGATCAAATCGCCCATGCTTTTAGCTCTGAAGAGAAATGACCCGATGCGCGTGTGACGGAAAGTATATGTGTGTATGTTGTTGAAATTGATTTTTTTAAAACAAACTTGATTGTTGCACAGTATTTATATTTCGTAGACACAAACGCTCCATATTTTAAAATCACATCATCATTTGATGCTACACGTAATATTCTCATTCACACTCTCGCTCTCTCTCTCTCTCCCTGGTTTAGTATTAGCCCCGAAAGCTGATGGAGGGAGGGGGGAGTGACCTTACGAACGGAAACGTATTAGGAGAATTTTGTGTAATCTGAATTGGCTAACGTAATCACTGTTTCGTACAGATAGACTACCAAGAAATTCCATTATGTAAAACGCTGTGTAATATGCGTTCAAAAATAACCCTTTGAAGACAAGAATGCGCGTAAAATCGCCAAAAATGAGTTAGCCTCAGCGCTTGCTATTTTACTATTGCTGCCGGCGAATAAACGTTTTCAAAAAATCCATTTACAGTCGGTAAAGAAGTAGCGACAACTATCGGAGGACAGAATTTACAGGGTTCATAGAAAATAACTTGTAGTTTTGAATATCAATAACTAGTTTTTATATTTCCAAATATTTCTAAGTGTGCATGTAAATAAATATTAAAATTCGTCACTTTTTTTTAATTGGT